TCAAAATCCCCATACACAGGGTCAAGTGGCAAAAATAAAACAACAGAAACATTTGCAATATTTGGACCAGGGAAATCAGTTGTATTCTCTATAATATTTTCTCAGAAATCAATAAGGAGACCAGGCCCAGTGGGTATGGCTCAGAGCTGAGCATCGACCTAGGATCCAGGAGATGATGGTTTGATTCCCAGTCAGGGCACATGCCTGGGTCATGGGCTGGATCCCCAGTGGGGGGCATGCAGGAGGCAGCCGATCAATGACTCATCAATGATGTTTCTATCTCTCTCCCTCTCCCTTCCTCTCTCTGAAATCAGTAAAGTATAAATATATATTATATATTTTTTAAAAAGAAAAAGAAAAGAAAAGGAGACCAGAACAGTTGAAAAAATATGCACAATCCACGAGGGTGTTCACAGAAGGATTTCAAATAGACAAGCCCTATATCCCTTCTTGCTAGTAATCTATGAAATGATGATTAAAACAAGCTTGTGAAATTTTATTTTTTTAAATATATCTTTATTGATTTCAGAGAGAGGAAAGGAGAGGGAGAGAGAGAGATAGAAACATCAATGATGAGTCATTGATCGAGCCCGCAACCTGGGCATGTGCCCTGACCCCGGAATCGAAACCCCGACCTCCTGGATCCTAGGTCGACGCTCAACCGCTGAGCCACGCCTGTCCGGGCGCTTGTGAAATTTTAAATACCTTTCTCATTTTAATATGAACACTTTCATACTAAAAGCAAAAGTGAAAGAATTTTGCTCTGAACACTTGTGTAGTGGCTTCATAGTGTCCCTCTAAAATTCATATGCTGTCTGAACCTCAGAATGTGACCTTATTTGGAATAGGGTCTTTGCAGATGTAATTAGCTAAGGATCTCACGATAAAACCATTCTGGATTAAGGGTGATCCCTAAATCTAATAACTGGTGTCCTTATAGAAAGAGGTTGGGACATATAGAGACACAGGGAGGCCATGGAAGGAGGAGATGGAGGCAGAGCCTGGAGTCACACTGCCACAAGCCAAGGGATCCTGGGAGCCATCAAAGGCGAGGGGGAGGCAAGGAAGGGTACCTCCCCAGGACCCCAGAGGGAGCAGGACCCTGCTGAGGCTTGATGGACTTTGGCCTCTGAAACTGTGAAACAATACATTTCTGTTGTGTAAACTACTGAGTTTGTGGTGCTTTCTTATGACAGACCTGGGAAAAGTTACAGTGCAAGTGGACAGTGGCACTAAAATCTGAGAGGGTCCCTCACACATTTGCCGTTTTCTCTGAAGTTTTCTGTTTGAAGAAGAAAATAGCTTCTGCAATCCTGTTTTATTTAGGCAAATACCAAGCCGTGAGATGAGCCCTCAGGAAAACTGTAAGTTAAATGCCTTCAATTTACAGCTTTCCATCCCTCCCCAGAGCCCGCCCCAACCGCCACTCTCCACCTTTGCCTCCTCTGAGGAAACCACCAGCTGGAGAAACTAGTTCTCTTTAAGATGCTGATGACTGTGTCCTCAACAAGGGAAAATGTGGATTGCCAGAAAACTAAACCCTCTCAGATTAGATTAAGTAAAGACATACGGACTGTATGAGACTATAAGCATATATGAGGAAACCTCAAAGACAACGGAAGACAGGACATGCCAGGCCGCACGCTGGCTGACTGGAAATGAAACTGAAAGCGGTCTTGGGAAGCCAGAACCGAAGACGTGACCACACTGGTCTTCTTTTCGCCATACTTCTCTCCAGTTTCAATAGTTTCTCTCTCCCTTCCTCTCTACTTCCCTCCCCATTCCTTCCCTCTCCCTCTCCCACAGGACTTGCTTTACTTCCACAGGCTCTAACAGGGTCTGATTCTATGTTCAATTAGGTACCTGCCATCATCTAAAGCCTGCACCTAATTTGCCTTTGGTCAGTCTAACTGTCCTCTGTGGACAGTGATGGGACCTGGTCTGCAGCGAGGTGGAGGATGGTGAATAAATTAGCTCTCCCAGTCATCAGCAGGGCACGGACAGTGGGGCAGAAATGACTTCCGGAAGCCTGGAAGGTCTAGGATGATCTCTGACTAGAGAGAGAAAGGTGAGATCGTAAAGCTCGGATCAAATGGGGAAGGAGAGTCATGCTTCCAGAAAAATCAAAAGGTTAAAAACCCTTGGTAACACGCATAGAAATAAAAACTACTTTTAATCGAACTTTTAATTAGGTACCAGATAGTGTCCATTGTACAGATGAGAAAATTGAAGTTTGAGAGCTGAGTACCTTTTCCAAAATCCCATAGTCTGGCTTAAAAAAAATTTTTTTAAACTGTGGTTAAAAACACACACACACAATTTGCCATCTTAATTACTTTTAATAATACAGTCAGTAGTGTTAAGCCTGTTCACGTTGCTGTGTAATACATCTCTAGGACTTCATCTTGAGAAACTGAAACCCTGTCTCCATTCAACAAAACAACTCTCCGCTCCCCTCCTCCAGCCCCTGCAACCACTATTCTACTTTCTGTTTCTATGGATTTGATTATTTTAGATACTTTGTAGACAGTATTTGCTTTTTGTGACTGGCTTATTTCACGTAGCATATCGTCCTCAGGGTTCATCCATGTTGTATGTAGCACATGGCAGGATTTCCTTTTTTAAGGCTGAATAATATTCCATTCATTGTATGGACAGCTTTTTGTTTATCCATTCATCTGTCAGTGGACATTTGGGTTGGCTCTTGTGGATAATGCTGCAGTAAGCACGGCATGTGAAAATATCTCTCTGAGGTCTTGTTTGAATTCTTTTGGATACATAACCAGAAGTAGGATTGCTGGATCCTGTGGTAGTTGTATTTTTAATTATTTGAAGAAGTTCCATACTGGTTTCCAGAACAGCTACACCACTTTGCATTCCCACCAGCAGTATCTGCACATCTTCACCAGCACTAGTTGTTTTCTGTTTTGTTGTGTTTTGTGGCCCTTCTACTGGGTGTGAGGTGATATCTCTTGGTTTTGGTTTGCATTTCTCAAACAACTAGTGATATTGAGTGTCTTTTCAGGTTTGTTGGCTATTTATTTATCTTCTTTAGAGAAATGTCTATTCAGTCTTTTGCCCATTTTATAAATCAGGTTGTTTGTTTTTGTTGTTGTTCAGTTGCAGTAATTCTTTATATATTATGGATATTAAACTCATCAGACAATGATTTGCACATGTTTTCCTCTCATTCTGTAGGTTTTCTTTGCACTCTGTTGAATGATGTGAGAAGCTTTAAGTCTGATGTGGTCCCGTTTGTCTATTTTTGCTGTTGTTGCCACTATAATCTGACTTTTTACCATTATATCATGTTGCTCTACCGAGTCACGCTGCACAGTCGCCTGCATAGAGCATACAGCCTTTGACACTATTTTACGACTTTCTTAACGAAATTATTCTTGATCTTGAAAACGTTCTTTTGTGTTTGGACTGTTGGGGGCCCCCCGCCCCCGGCTCTGCGGCCCCCC